TTCTGTATTTGCGTGGATATTTGTGTGTCTATTTGCTCACACTTGTTTATGCTTCTGTAGCTGTTGATTGTGCGTGTATTTCACATCCTGTTTATACTAGTGTTGGGAACCGAAATATTTTTGTCGATGGTCACCGACCGAGAGCCATGTCGGTGATTACCGCAACTCGGTATTCACCGACCGCCTAATTTTCAGCATCGGTCGGTTGCGGTTCGGTTGCAACTGCGGAGCGGTTTGCCACGGTCACCGACCGAGCAAGCCTTGTCGGTTGCGGTCGGTAGTCACCGACGGGTCGGTAATTACCGCAACTGGGTATTCACCGACGGTCGGGGACCAACGCAAAACCGTCGGTGATTATTGACCGATTTTCGGTGGTCACCGACCCAACACCAGTTCATACTGTATTCGTATACTGTTGATCTGTACGCATCCTGCGAGAAAATATACCAAGAGAGTCGAAAGTAATCGATCGCGTACATCAACATAAGGAATCTACTTATCACTTGCTCAGTGAAATAACCCGTTGTGTATGTTCGCGATTACACACAAACCACCGAAATGCCGCTTTTACTTTGACAATCCTCGCACTAACGGCGACGAATTTTATGTACGGTAGCCGAAGGACCTCAAATTCACGACGAAATCCTTCATACAGAATGCGATAGGACTTGCTGCCGATAAAAATCGATATGGAGAACTCACATTTTCAGACTGTTGCGTTGCTTCGATGTTAACATCGAATTCCAGCGGTATCCGCATATCATCCTGTTCCCACTTTTGGCCTTTCATAATCAGCGTCGAAGAATTTCATCTGGGGAAACCGAGGCATTTTCCTCTTTCGCTGTCGTGTGCTGGAGTCATCTTGCTGAGGCAACGAGGACATCACGTATACGCATTCAGGGACATCGATAGCTCCGCAATTGAAGGATGACAGCGTAAAAGTCATTCATAATCGGGCATCCGCATTCCCGCAACTACCGAACGACGACAGCCGAATTTCCGTTTGTTTATTAATAATCATAGCTCATATTAGTAGCTGATAAAAACTAAGGGATGTGGTGTTGAAGAACGCTACCCATAGTGTCTCTGGTAGGCCCAAATGTGCCGCGTACTACGCGTTTCCATGATACGCTCACACAATGGTAAACATGCGTTCGCATTGCTCAAAATCGAACCGAAACGAAGTTTGGGGCGTTGAATAGCTGAAAACGACGTTGGAAGGGTGCTACTTGTCAGGGAGCTAAGTATCCGTCACCCAACGGTTTTGATCACTTCAAAAGTGCAGTTTTGCTTATGTTACCAGATCCATTAGTCATACTACTCCAAAAGATTTTTTAAAACCATCTCGAAGCAGCNTTTGTGTGTTTGTTTATGTGGATGCTGAGGATGTTTTCACATTTAGAGTTAAATCTGATCCGTAATATATCGAGTATTGTGATGAACGTCTTCAGAAACTTTTTGCTATATAATCCATCGCTTTATTAATTCGTAACATTTTAGTTCTTAAGCCAGGTTTGATCGAGTATCGACAAGTGGTAGAGGAGATAGCCAACAAACCATGGATATCGGTACTATTGTTGATGAAGTGATTGATCAGGCCGATCTTATGGTTTGTTGATGTAATTAAATTATATCAAACTTATCACGAGATGAACGTTTATGGAACTGTGTTCATATGTGATTCGAGTATGAGAAGGAAATGCTCTTCTTGAAATAATGATACTAATGATTGTTTTTCTTTTAGCAATTTTTTGGTGTTGGTGATATGATTCGATTAGGTGTTATGAATAATTCATGATTTTTATTCATGTTATAATGATTATTATCAATAATGCGATTATTATCAGTACTGTTATTATAAGCATGTTTTCAGAGGTTCGCTAAGGTCTATATTGACCAAACGACTCGTGGTAGTCCAAGTGCTATGGTAGTCTTCTCGTATGCTCACGCATTGATCAAATCGAATAAAGAAGACGTCAAGAGGGGTATTCAGCTTCTTGAGGGTTAGGATTGAACTGTCATTGTTGATTGTTGGAGAGCTGGTTGCGTTTAGAATCCGTTTTGTACAGTTGATTGTTCATCTAATGCAATTCTAATACTTCAGCTGAGGTTGCTTACGCTCCCAAGTGGTGGGAGATGGCATCCAAGGGGTGTGGAGTAAGATCTCATTTTTGTACATTAAGTAGGCGAGGATGGATTTTAACGTANATATTTTGGAAAAGGCCAGAATGTACTCTAATGGTATACATTCATCAACACTATAGACACTCACTGCAGTGGAAAGAGATAAATAATGGATGTTGGGAGGGGTGCGAGGATATTTTGAATATTGTTGTAGGAATCCTGAAAATTTCTTAGCGTTGTGGGAAGGAAAAACGGTTGAGAACCACTGGTTTAATGTATATTTTTAGTGTTTGTTGTGGTAATGGTGATAATGATAGCTATCGTAATAATAATTATGAACAGATTTGATGAGACGCGATACAGAGGACGTTTCAAAACGAGATTACATCTACTATCTGGCCATTGCACATACTCGTCTTAAGGTCTTAATTATTTCATTTTCGTTTATGATTCGAATAAAATTGAATGCAAAGCACTAAGCTAATCGTGTTTGCGCATGGCCTTTCTCGATTCACTTGTGAAATAAGTCGTTGTTCGGTGTATTTGATGGATTTGTTGAAATTTGGAATGATTGTGAGTTGGTTGGATTCATGAAATGAAATTTAAGCAATATGATCGTGCACTGGCTTATATCGACATATTGCTGAGTGCCGAATCGCATAATCGTCAAGCAATCGAGCTGAAGCAACTCATTCAAAAAAGAATGCGAAATGGTGCGCAATTTATATCTATATTGAAGAGCTTGCTGTTCTTATTGTTGTTATCATCGATGTTATTTTCATCATTATAAAATTTCAGATGGGATTCTGGGAATGGCAATAATCGGCGGAGGTTTGATGGTTGTCGGAGGACTGGTCGTGGCGGCTATATCAGCTGCCAAAAGTAAATGATATATTGGTATTATTATTGGCTCAACGTGATGCGGATATTACATCAGCTTTTGATTGCAATCATCATGTGAGGTTGACAGCTGATAGTAACGTGAACCCCAAGCCCAGATGAGATCATCTTTTTTTGTTTGTTTTTGAATATTCTCTTCTGAAATCACTTCGCATCGAATAGACTGCATTATCACAACGTTCGTATTTTTCATCTCCATCGGTGTAATTTACTATGGTCATTTATTTCTACTGGTGTATTTTTGTATTGATTAAGTCATGTGTTGTACCAATAATTGGATCTATTGTTCATTACGTGTTTTGATTTCATTCTGTTCCATTGTATCGCTTATGGTCTTTTATGTTCTTGGAGGATTTTTCAGTTTCGAACATTTGATTCAGATTCACATGTTGATATTGAGAAATAAAATGTTCTGGTCTCTGGAATCCCTTTTTTGAAAGAACTACACTTTATTTTTCATAACTTGGAACTTCCTTCGAAAGTTATTGATTTGCAACGCGACAAGGAAAGGGTTTGGGTTGATCGATAGGAATTTCAGCTGAATTCGAGGAGTGCAGTAAGCATAAAAGAAATGAGATGAAATGTGAAGTCGAGAAATATCGATGAGCTGAGGTTATCTTTGCTAAGAATTAAGAGAGGTATGAGGGTAAAGGTGCTCTGAACTCTTTAAAAGCATTTAATATTAATATGATCATGTTCATCGCTGGAGAAGGTTTGCGCAGCATAGAGAAACATGGAACTCAGTAGACGTGCGTTCTCATGGAGGACGAAGACAGGTCACTAGGTAATGATCATGTTGGTTGGTGTGGGATTTTCATTTGGGGATGGATGCAAAGAACTGAAAACTATGGTCGCAAAAAAGTATATAACTAGGAGTCGTGATCCCGCCAATCTAAACAACGGATTGTCGCGAAGCTGATAACAATTGAGAATGCAAATCATCTGAACACAATGATCAGATGTGACACTGTTAAGCTATAAGGAAGTTGAAGCTATTAGGCATCATCTATGTGGTGGACATGCATGAATTATCATGAAGCTGATAAGCTGATTGCCCCCCCCCCCCCCTCCTCCTCGAAGAAAGTCGTAGCTACGCCATCGGGTAAAGGTCGTTTGAGTACGGTCCTTGATAAAGTAGTATAATGAAGAGTCGTTTTTAATGCAGTTGAACCAAACTACTGCTGTTTTGCCACCTTGTAAATCTTTATATCGAGCAATCAGTGCAAGTCCTGGGGTTTCCGATTAAAAACGAGCATAATGTTAACCAGAATAAGGAGGTGCAAAATCACAATCATGTCATTAAATGGAGTCGCTTTATCCACATGATCCTAGAGATTTCTTCTCGCCCAGATCCACTTGTATTTGACTGGCACAAAATCGAATGACTTTTCCTCCAGAACTGTTCATACAAACATGTTTACAATTAATTTGAAACAAGCACAGAAGAAATTTGCAAAATAACGTTATTAAGACATGTTATCAATTGATGTGAACCCTCTGAAGATTTGCTATAAATTTATTTTGAAAGGACAAATCCGCTTTTTTTAAAACTGAAATTCAGTTCATGCATATGGCATGGCCGAATAAAAATTCATGTCATTGTTACGTTGCAAATATACTTTTTGTCGCTTTTTCCATATGCTATGAGGCGGAGAGGAGTGAAGAACGAAAACGACAAAAAAGACTGAATTTGATGAGAATATAGAATGAGATCATTGCATAATGAGCTTGATTCGGTTTGAACGATCATTAGAGGTCATTCAACGAGTGATTTTTCCACAAGAGGAAGTATTAAAAACTTTGAGAGTCACGTTTGCATCAAAGGTATAATATGAACAGGGTGATAAATCGTCATACGATCTCAAATTATGGTGGTGAGTCCATAATCAATTTAATTCACGTGAAACGCATAGGCAGACAATGATTAGTATGTTATGTTGTAAAATTTACATCCGACCGTATGCTTTTTCAAATGTAATTCATACGTCCCGTGATAAGATATATTTCTTTCTCGAGTTTACATATACTACTGCATAGTTCCATATCGATCGTAAATGTTACAATGCATTGATAAAAACGAATGATATGATGATAATATGCGTAATAATGCTTTTCAAGACACTAATAAAGAGCACGAAAGCAGGAAGACACACCTCGTCCCGCATTCTTAAGATTTGCTTACCAACAGTTTATGAACGATTGATTGAATCAGATTGTTGGTTCGTCATTCTTCTCGACAGTCTCTAATATAATGTGCTGATATCAATTCATAATGATTACGACTTTTCTTCCATTTTGATTCAGTTTACTGATTTAAATAATGCTCAAAATGATGATAATAAAAATGATTCAGTTGCTGTTTGAATCAAATGCTATTTGAACTAGTATGTGAATTATTTTTATTATCGCATCTCGAATATTATTAGTAGTAAATTTTCTGGTTTTTTATTCCATATTACAACCTTGTTAACTTGCATATGGATAACAACATGTTTAAAAGTTCGTAATCTACTCATGCCGATGCATAGTTTGTGATCTGTGAACTTCTTAGCATAAAGACTCAAAAGAATGCAATCTGTAGGTATCTTATCGCAGAATATGTCTCTTTCCACAACGTCATTATTCACCGATCAAATGGATATGAACGATGAAGAGGAGGACTTCTTCTACTTTGATCCAAAGCGAAAAAGGTGCATCTCTCTAATTACATAGCAACCGAATCAGATTCAGGCGGAAATTTCAAACTGAAATTCATTTATTTGTTCGATGGCAGCAAAAGCGAAAAGCGGATCTCCGAACGTGATAAAAAGCATCTACCTTTTACTCGCAAAACACCCGATCTACCGTCATAGCAATTGGACAACCTGCTAACATTTAGCTATCAATGAGTGATTAGTCATGCTGTTATTGGACAATGATTATGAGTGGTAATCTATGAAGTTTCTCTGTGAAATTCTTCATGAACATTCTCAAAAATCAGCAACCAATTCGACTCCTTCAGATATAACCGATTGTGGAGATGTTCAGCTGTCATTATCGGATTACTGCTCGGCATATCGCTTATTTATACTGCCTACTTCATTTACACTGCTTCATCAGTTCGATCTCATCCTCATGCGCATTCAACAGTTCGAAATGCCTTCTCTTGGATGTGGACGAAGGTTTAGATAGATATTAGTTACGAGTTAAAATTGATTACTATATCATTTTGAAACAACTCGGATCTCATTAGTAGCCACATATCGTTGTGTGCTGATAATCAACAAGAGTTGTTAATTTCTCAAAGTGTAGGTATTATGAAGAAACAATTTGAGAATAGTCGTTCATGTGCACAGAACTGTGATTACCTTGCAGCAAGAACCGGAAGAAGATGGCGCACCTGAATTGGCGATCTATTTGGATCGCTTCAAACGTTTCATGAAAAAGTGCGATATTCAACATTGGTTCTTCACTGATTATGATTGGTTATTACCATTATTTATGTTCGAAATTCTGTGCACTCTGAATTGATTATATTCACTGAATTTTGCCACATTCTTCATTAGACGTTACTTAAAACAGTTTGTTCGGAGTGAATTTATTGGGGAAGTGGCATGATCGAGGATAGAGTGAATGAGATTGGTAGGGCACTTCCAAGTTAGTGTGCTCTAAGGTGTCTCGTCTTATAGCACAAATCAGTTGAAATCTCATCATATCACTTATGCTCAGTCGATCTTTGCAACTCATCAGCTCTGATTTATCACTGGTCGTGCTGATGGTTTGTCTGTTTGTGCTAGATATGAACGCGATTATGGTGGTGGCGTTGAGGTGTTGAATCGATTCGAGATATATCTTAAAAATACAAATGCAGCGGATCGTCTCAATGAGAGAAATGCGCAGTTGAGCGCTCGTTTCGGTGATACGATCTTCTCGGATTGGAGTGACGACGAATTCAAGGAGGCTGGTTTCGATCGATTTTGTTTGCATATGGAAATTATACTCATATGAGGACACTCTGTGAAACGGCGTAGAATCGGCAAGAAAACGGCGTACAACTTCACAAGATTATGCGTGTTGAAAACTTTTTGACCCGTAGAAGTTTAAAAAAACACCAGATTCTGAGAGTAAGATCTGGACTGGAACCTCTTAATCTCGCTTATAGAGGTGATCTCACTGATGACTAGTCAATGGNATTTATCGAAAATATGGATTGTACTGGCAAATAAAATTGAACGGAAATGAGCGGAAGAATCTCCACTTAAGAAAGAAGCCATGACCAAGTGGATATTTCAACTCGATCATTTGCTTTCTGAAATGGCTGATATTAAAACCATTCTAACTTCCTCAACCCGTTTGGACCCGTAGATAATTTAGTAAGCTTTTGATTTTTAGGCTTTTGATTTAATTTTTAGTGAAATGTGGTTCGTGTTGGGCTTTTGCTACAGTAGCGACAGTCGAGACTTCATACGCGATTAATAATCGAGAACTGAGAAGTTTATCAGAACAACAATTGCTGGATTGTGATTTGGTGGACAATGCGTGTAATGGGGGACATGTCGATACGGCATTACAGTTCGTTTCTTTGATAGATTATTCGATTGTTGGTTTATTTTTTGATGATTTTGATTTGCTTTGACTCTTGATTTACAATCGTGTATATGTTTATAACGTCATTTCATCGTGAATATCTTATAGAACACGGTGTGACCTGTGTTGTACCTTCACTTGGGATAAACCAGTTGCTTTCTATATACTGGATTAACAAGATTATTTCATCCAGTACTGATCCATTCAGCCTTTATGTAATACATCTCGCTTTAACAGGTATATCTATGATAACGGTTTAATGACCGAGTATGACTATCCTTACGTAGCACATCGACAAGATACATGCTACCTTCACGGCGCAACAACCACCATTAAATCAGCTGTGTTCGTACATCCGGATGAAACGTCGATTATTGACTGGTTACTTCATTTCGGACCTGTTAATGTTGGTCGGTGTNGTTTACTGTCAAGTTACAATTAGAATGATTTAAAGTTCATGATGGAGATATATAACTTGATCACTGATTGACTAACTTGCTTAAAAATTCAGTGATCAATGCCACGGCTGATATCAAACAATACAAAGGTGGGGTGTACACACCTGATCAATGGGAATGTGAAAATAAGATCATTGGTCTGCATGCTCTAAACATTATGGGTTACGGCACTTGGAACGAAACAAACGAGAAGTATTGGATTATCAAGAATAGTTGGGGACAGGTTGGTTTATCAACTTATTGTTGGTTGAAATTTTAAGTTGAGATACAATTTCTGAAAAGACTCATTTCAGTCATATGGTATCCAGCAAGGTTACATGTATTTTGCGCGTGGTATAAACGCTTGCGGTATTGAAGATCAACCGATGGGTGTTATTGCGTGAAGTGAAGCTGAAAGTGGAGTAGATAGCTTCTGGAATTGCTGCGATTAAAATTTGTAACAATAAATATTCTCTATCGATGAGAGAATTTTGATTCATTCTCCGATGGATTTATTTCAACTTGTATTTAAAACAGATTTCTTTGTTTATCACTGTTGCTCAAACGTTTCGTTTACATTCCTTTCATTTTCTTTCATTGGCTGTATGAGTCGATAATATGTTTTAAGATTATGTCCTTTAAGAAGTAAAAATTCCTTAGTGATGGTTTTCTGTTGAGATTCTGGGGAAAGATGCACTTTGGGGCATTTATTATCACTTAATCACTGACAATATGCTACTTAAAATGAATCTTACACTGTAATGTAGTATGAAGAATTCAAAAGTTAAAACCTTTCCGTACACAGTTTCCAAAAAGATAATTCTTACGCATAAACGAATTCAATACATATTAGCAGAGGGATTTTGGTTGTCGATCAGTCGCAGTGATTGGTCGGTTGCCGACTGCTCTGGAAAAATGACTCACTGCAATTTTCCACACACCAGCATCCTTCGGGTCGAGGCGTGAGAGTAGGCCCAAACCTTCGAGGTTAGTATAATAGTTCGTCAGTCATTGGCGGTGAGCGGTCGTGTAGCGACTGGGCGACTGGGCTGGGAAGTTGATCAATTGCAATTTTCCCACTCACCAGCAGCCTGTGGCCCGGTGCATCAGTTCAGGTCCAGTCGTCGTATGAATTTGCACGTTCAGTGCAAGTTCATTGCGCTCAGAAGCACAGTCGACAGAATTTGAGGAAGAGGCCCGTCAAGCTACGTCGACATTACATATTTCGATTCTAAAAAAGCGTTTGATTCGGTGTTCATACCCAAAAAAAACTTAAAATTACAAGCGTATTGGCACACGAGGTTGTTTGACCAATTGAATCCGTGACTTTCTTAGAGACCGTTTTCAATCACTCCAAATTACTGGTTCATCCAGTTCGTCAGAATACATCAGCAGTTGTGTTCCTCAAGGTTCTCCTCATTTTCTTATCCTTACAAAAGTCGCCTTATTCCAAATTCAGTACGCTTCGTATTTGCAGATAATGATAAGTTCTCCAACAATTTTCAAACCATATTCAATTTCATAAATCAACTACCATCAAATTGATTTTTGCTGCTAGATCCAGAAGAAACGATAACAGATAAACATCAATCACGTCTAGGGTTTGCACGGGATCCCGGGATCCTGAGAATACAGTTCTCCGGGATTTCAGTTTTGAAAAATCCCAGGATTTCGGGATTTGATAAAACAGGTCAACTTGTGTGAATTTTGATAGTATGTTCATCTTGAAGTAAGCCTTAATCATTCCCACCTCATTCATATGCAGTCATTTTTGCCGTTTGCCCTCTATCATTGATGAACAGCTAAGGAAATAGATGTAATTTGGACGAATGACATGATCAACGACAGCGCGATGAAATTTTACGTTGTATTTCATTGAATATTCAACTGATTATTCTGCTCTTCATTGATTTATATCACGCTCATCTGGGTGCTTTCTAAGTACACTAACAGAAATAATCACATTTTCTAATAAAAACCAAGAACAACAAAGTTCAATGAAATTTTGAGTTCTTCCATCCCACAAGATTTGTTCGGCTTCAATATTCCACCTCTTAATTCGGCTGCATGTTCCGAAGACTGCAAGTCTTTTTACTTGGCTATTTGGAAACGTTTTCATCCGATGAAAAGGTACATAAATTCTCACTAAGTTTACTCATAGTGAAAATTCATTGTCGAAGTGAGCAAAGTTGTTCCATTCAAAAGGATCTTATGCTTGAATACCAAGTACATTTGCATGATTTTTGATCGCAGTTATCAAATATGTAAGTGCTCGATGCTT